TTGCTGAGCGAATCAGAGGAATATTACTCCCGGTTTGCAGGAATTACAGAGCTACAGCTATTGGATTAAATTACTGAACTGAATCATGCCACAGCAGTTCCATGTATGACCCAGACAATACTGTAAAGTCTAGGCCTGAGACATTGTAATAAAACATTTCATTCTTCTAGGCCATTCAAGCTATTCCTGGCAAAATTTCACTAAAAACTTACTTTTTTTTTAGAAAATATGCATTTGCATTACTCAAATTATTATAAATCATGGAAAAATATTGGCATGAATTTTAGTTTTATCACACAAAAGAATTTAAAAAAATGAGAAATACAGACTATTCTCATAAAATATTACCATTTTCTTGACGAATCCATCGTTACTAGGCAAATTTAGAATTCTCTATATACATACATACATATATGCATACATACATACATACATACTGTACATAGAAAAACTTTTTGTTGCAATTTGTCCAACTTTAGTGCTTGAAATCCGTATTTCTGATGGACTATTAGAAAAAAAAAATATCCTAAATGATTAGTTGTTACTGACTTGTGTGATTTTGTTACAATATGGTTGTTTGGGCGTAGTTTTGCGTACGTTAACGTTCCCAAAATATGAAAATGTTTTTAATTTGCGTACGTTATTATAACGTTTTTACAACGTTTTGATGCAAACATTAATCTGCAATCAAAAACGCAGTTACATGGCGATGTTTTAAAATTGTTTTTAAAACGTTTCACAAAAACGAAAACAATCTTGGGAAAATTAATGCACATTTGGTTGTGATACCGTAACGTTCAGTGAACGTTGTGATTTCGTTTTATTTGAAACACTAATTGTTTAAGAGTATCTTGCGTACGTTATAATAACAATTTTATAACGTTTTGGTGCTAACAATCTGCAATCAAAATACAATGTTACATGACAACGTTTAGAAATTGTTTTTAAAACGTTTAAAAAAAAAAACGATAACATTTGTTCGGAAATTTGGTGCAGATTTGGTTGTAGTATAACGTTCCGTAAACGGTTTGATTTCATTTTACTTTATACACTGTTTGCGAGTATTTTGCGTACGTTATTATAACGTTTTTATAGCGTTTTTGTGCGAACAATCCGCAAATAAAAATACAATGTTACATGACAACGTTTAAAAATTGTTTTTAAAACATTTTAAAAAACGATAAAATTTGTTCGGTAATTTGGTGCAGATTTGGTTGTAGTATAACGTTCCGTAAACGTTTTGATTTCGTTTTACTTTATACACTTGTTTGCGAGTATTTTGTGTACGTTATTATAACGTTTTTATTACGTTTTAGTACAAACTCCCTTACACGGTGACGTTTTAAAACCGTTTCGAAAACGTTTCTCAAAAACGAAACCCAAACTATAACCAATGCAAAACGTTTTTTAAACGTTTTGTGTTAGCTGGGTTCCTCTGGTCTTCGTGGTCATGTCTGCCTGGAAGATGGTTGATTATTGGTTTAGCAGTATATTAATCAACATACTAAAATGCAACTATGTAAATCGTATCAATAATAATAACATAAACATCGATAGATGCTATATAAAAATCATAAAATCCATTGGTTTGATTATCAGCATAATAACATAATAATGTTAAATCATAAGTATTAGTCTTACTAACTTGCAAAAAAACATTATTAACTAACACAAACGTAATAAAATCCACTGTTTTCCCACAAGAAATCATGGATACAGTAGCAATAGATTACATTAGGGAGATTATTGTTAACCACACACACATAGCATACGCACACCTCTGTGCCTATTTGGCGTTCCATACAAATATATTACGGCCGAACAAGTGTACGGCCGAACCGGACTTCATTCCTAGGTCCTACCTATAGAAGGCCCCTCGCTAGGCCTAGACTAGCTAAGGCCATAAGCGGCAGTAAAACCTAGGCCTAGTCCTAGCTATTCATGACATCAACAGAGTCACGCTTCACATCACTTGCATGGAAATTTATAAAAAAAAAAAAAAAATTGAAACAACGTGAAATATGAATAAAAATAGGCTAGGCGTAAGGGCAAGGCAGTGGAGTGCGAAAGTAAAAAAAAATAATACGTTTTACTTTAATACAATAAAAATAAAGTTGCAAGAACACAAGTACCATATTCATTCAAATAAATTCCCCTTGCTTTATTGTTCAGAGGGGTTTTGACTTGAGGGGAGGTTTATTTTTAGTAGGCATTTATAATATTAAAGGCAGCGGAGCTGTAATTTTTTTTAAATTTTAGTCTGGGCCGACAATACGTTTTAAGTTTTACTGCTCTCTATAAATAATTAGGGTGCGGTATTTTATTATTCAAAACCTACAAAAAAAAATCACAATACAGTACAGTAAAGTAAACTATGTTCAAACTTTTTATTACAGTACTTACTCAAAATACCGTATCATATTTTAATGAACGTGTGAAACTCCATCGCTTCAGAGCAAATTAATATCAATGCATTTTCAAAATCAGACAGCATAGATCTCGAAGAATAATATCTAAAACAAACAGTTTAGTACAGTAATTCTGCAGTGAAATTTTCCTGCCGTTGGTATGCCACACAGGGTACAGTAATAGACATTGGTTGAGTTTTTATAGTAAATTTGCACGCAACATCATAAACATTAAAACGTACACATTTGATAGGCGAGACTTTTTTTATTCCTTGTTTCGCATACCTATTTGTTTAAAAGATCATCGGAGGAGGGCAGAATAGGAATAAAAAGAAAAGTTTGCTTTCTTATTTAGCAAATAGTTTTACCAAAAACAGCCATACGGAGGAGGAAATAAAAATAAAAATTGTATTGGTGAATGTAAAATAGGATGGTTAAATGCTTCAAATTTTATAATTATGAAGAAATATACATGTCTTATCTTTGGATATTTCAAGGCAGCGGAGGGCGTAATACAAATTTTTAAAAACTTTTTTTTTTCCGGAAATTTCCACATTTTTGTGGCAGCGGGTGCGCTAACTGGTCAAAATAAAATTTAATTTTTATTCAAAATCATCAGTATTTGCAGTCGACGGGTTCACTAAACAAGCTATAAAAAAATCTCGCCTCAAACGGGTCTATAATGAAACTGTCCTTTTTCAGGTATGAGCACTGATGTTAAGTAACATCAGTGTTTGCAGTGGTAGGTGCTTTTATGAATACCATTGACCTATGTTGACAGGGTCAGTTTTAACTGGAAATGCACTTATAATTAATTGTTAATTATGTATATCAGGTTTGGTTCATCATAAAATATGTTCTGTATTATTCAATATTTTAAAATCAAATGAGATTTATCTATGGATTTATTAAGTGCCGACAGCATGAACTAAATTATGGATAATTGTTGAACTGAAATTTAATTACCGGCTTAAAGAAACTTTACAGTACTTCAACTTCATATAGTACCGGTGTGTGTATTTATGAAGCACATTTAGAAACATTTATGCTACCTAGGTGAAAATAAATATGATATGACTATGATAATGGTAATTCTAATTTCACTTTTTTATGAAAATTTACATGGTACAAACCCTCAATTCTGTTAGGAGCACTATAGCATTTTTCTTTAATGGTGCTAAATAATAAAACAAAACTAAACAATGATGTGTAGAATTGACCTAAAGGCCTATCATTTAAAGATGTCAGAAAGACAAGAAATACCTAAAAAATTCAAATACAATTTTGAATAGCTCATTTGAAAGTAGATTCATTGATTTACAGACATTTTACTACAAAAATCTTTAAATTGAATACTGACCATCTTAAGGATTTATGCAAAAGAATACAGAAAAGTTATTTAAGCAATCCAAATATGGAATTAAAATGTTTATTTCTTTTTACATGATGCTCACTGGTAGTACATCTTTAAATTAGCTTAAATTATTCATCACAAAAAGCTATTCAGCATTCAGCATTTTATTTAGCACTATGTGATTTTCCCAATGACTGATTGTATTCCACAGCATGACTAAGGCTGTGTGGAGCTGCTGTCCTTCTTTTCTTCTTGTCAATTGAATAGCCATGTTCTTTGACGAACGACTTTGCTGGCCTCCCTGACGTCTTTCGTCTGGCTCCTCGCCCCATATGTGCCCGCCTTGCTGTGGCAGTTGGCTGTACGCCAATGGTTTTCCCACTCCCTCTGAGTCTGTCATTGCCTATTGAAAATTACAAATTTCTTTAGAACATAAGACTGAAAACTGAAATAAGGAATAAAAATATATCTACTGTACAATTTATTATAAGAATATTATACCTCTTGTCATCAATGATTCAGTCACACCTTGATATTTTCCAAATGTGCTCAAGGCAGAACACATATGTGTGGTGGTCTTTATATGTTTCAAGTTTTCTTCAAATTTATTAATTGCAGGTCCCATTACACCCGGGTCAGTCTGCAGCATTAGGATCATTGTGTCATAAAAGGAGCGCAGAGTGTCTGTGGCACTGTCGACTAAATCAAACATTAACATTGTGTAGTTAACTTATGAAAATGAATAACAGATTACAGCGTTTGGAAGTTTCTTCTGAAATTAACTTACACAACATGGAGGTATAAAACAGCAACAACAGTTCTGATCAAAATAAGACCTACATATATGTAACATGTATTTATACATTGTACTGTTGTCATAATACATGACACAACACAATCACATTATGGAGACAACGCAATAACATTATGGAGCTAACTACTGTATGACTTTTATCTCAAGCTTTGATTAGATAATTAAATGTTAAATAACGCTGAATTCAATAATGCCATTAAAGACATACTGCCAATAAAAAATATAAAAAGAAAACCTTCAGAAATAACAACAAGACAGACAAATTGATAGTAAGTTTTCAAATGAACACATTTAAATTGATTGCAAGATACAAATTTTAAGCACTCACAGAAAAAAAAAATGTTTTGAGAGTTTATAACTTACAGTGAAATATACAAACTAAGCAATTGAATTTTGGTTTTATTGATAGTATTATTAGATTTATGAGGCAGTATATCTTTAACTTTTCAATAATTATTTTACTCACCAACAATATACAGCCATGACATCCAGTGTTACATAATTAACTGTGTGTTGTGTTGATCAAATCAAATGTAAAATATAAAACAAAGGAACAAGGATTGAACATTTATATAATTTAAATAGCATCTACATTAGTAAATTTCATTGCTAATGTTTCCTTAAAAACATATTAGATAGGCATATATGATAGTCAACTGTATAACATCAGAATCAATAACAACATGCTGAAACAACATCAATTCAAAAATGAGTGTTTAGTATCTAAGTTAACAATAACATAAATTAGAATGATATTGTTAGATGATTTAAAGTGGACATTTAAATTCTGAAAGTAATGTAAAACAATAATAACACTAAATTATTACCTAGTTCAGATGAAGTTCGATCATAAGGGTCGTCATGAGGCACATTCTGCAGGTTTTCATGCCACACACCTTGAGGGTCATCAAGAATCACATCTTGTGGGTCTTCATGAGACACATCCTGGGTGTCATCGAATAGCATGTCTTGGGGATTGTCATCACCTTGTTGGTTATCAATGGGAAATTCAGTGTTGGCCACTGTTAGGCCATCAAAAAAGCCAGGTAGTGGTGCTGCTTCCTTTCCTTTTAAAAGTACGTTAAACAAAACATATTAATTTCTAAAATCTAAAAATTAAATTCTAAAGTCAAACCACTTATTACTAAGTCTTCTTATTAGTGTATTGGGCAAGTAATATAATCAAAATAACAATGATAACAATATTATTAAAATTGTGCAGCATTTTTAGGTAGTATTATATATATATATATTTACCTGTTGCAATCTTATGTAAGCATAGCCTCATCTCTGCGTTGCTCACAGGTACAAAGTTGGATGTAGCACATTGGTAATGCTTTACAATAGACCCTTGATGCTTGCAGGGTCCACCAGTTTTGCCTACTGGGCAGGTACAGTGGCCGACTTCCACATTAATGTTGTACACATTAAGACCACTTCTAACTTCAAAGTCCACTGCAGAAATCTGATTTATGTAAATACAAAAATCAGAAAGCGGTTAGACAAATTAATACATATTACACATACATATTATTATTACAGTATTATTATTAATATTATTATTATTGTAAGTAATTGTAAATTATTTTGGAGCAGTATTGTATTTACTATTTTTTCTTTGTACAATGTATAGTGTTTGTGTTTACTAACAAAAGCATAATCTTTTAGTATGTTACCTGAGTGATGTTGTGTTTTGTAATATTCTTGTCTGTTGGCATAAACCTTGAAGTCAGCACATAATAAAAACATTTTAATACTGGGCATGTGTGTATATGACATGAACATTAGGCCTTTATAATAAAAAAAAAAAAATATTAGATTTAATATCACCTATCTAGGCTGGAAAAGTGATGAGGATGGATGCTTTTTATTTTTTATTTTGCTAAAGCCAAATATCATTCACTATTGAATTGTTTGCTGGCACATTGATATTCAAAGTAAAATACATGACTGAGATAATACAAACAATATCTACTAACTATTTACTAAAAAAATGAAAAAAAAATTCCTCCCTCAACCTGCTCAAAAAAAAAAATTAAAAAAAAAAAAAGATTCAAATTTTTCTTTTAATGCCATAGAATACATGCGCATGAGGGTGATAAACTTATCATTTTTTTATTGGGCCATCTATGCAACTTACTCTGATATACACATGTCAGTGAGTGTACTTTCGTTTCGTACAGATTCATTATTTCATCTTCGCAATCTGCATACATGATTGTCTTTAGTCTGATGAGGTGCTCAGCACGTCTTTCTTTGCAAACAGCATTTTTTTCCATTCCATAGCCATCTCCACGTAGCTTGTAGAATATGGAAAATGCATAAGAGTGTTGTTGCTTCCGGAAATTCTTTTTTTATAGCATTTTGCTCCGCGGATGAGTCATCAGTCATAAAAACTGTTGGTCCCTTTATACCTCGTCCACCAAAACACCTACATGAAGATTCAACATGACACTCAATTTAGTTTAATGTAAATATTCCATTTCAGTAGTACTGTATAAACTGCTATAAACAGTATTTCACAAAATTCAAACATTAAGCTCACATGAATACCTACCTCTGAGGTAGAATGATTTTGTACAGTGATAGTGCTTCGGCAATTGTCTCCTCTGATTCTGATGTTGGGATTAAAACACCCAGTGGCAAACCACCAGCACAACTGTGTGTTAAGAGGATGAAAACACTACAATTGTGGCGATCCATGTTTGAGGACGCGTCCATGAAGACAATTTCTCCAGAATGCTTGAGGTTCTCGTGGACGCGCTTCATCAATGGAGTGCACACAGCAACAATAGGCTTATCGTTTAAAACTTTCACAGCCATGCAGGTGCTCCCAATCTCTTCGTTGTAGTTTCTGGCATGGCTGTCCAAAGCTGTTATCATTTCCTCTTCTGATGCATTCCCGTATTGTTCCTTGAATACTTTGCTGTATAACCTGGAATTTGTAGGTAAACCTTTAAACCAGTGGTGAGCATAGGGTTGGAGGGCGAAAGTGATTTCCTTTTAAATACTACTTTTTAAAATTTTAAATACTAACAATGGTGATGATGAGATGGTGCTGATGATGATGATGATGATGATGATGGTAATGTAGTCAGTGAATATTTTTACAATGGAAAAACTATAGATATAAATCAAGAAAATATTACTATTTATTTGAATACTGTTACAGTAACATATCATTGTTATAGTAATGATTTATTCATTCTTTATGCAATAGTACTTATGCACTGTTTTTCAAAGTGGTTCAATATAAATACTTTTAAAAAAACTTTAAAGGTAAGAAAAATAAAAAATATTGTAAGGAAAATCAATAAAAATATTGTTACAACTGTCCATTAAATGTATTATTGATATTCAATTTCAACTTACCTATGCGCATATGGTATATCGGGGCAAAGCGAACGATCAGCAGCAATGACCGGATATTTCTCGCCATACTTCAGCATCAACTGTTGCTTATACATTTCAACAGCTGCTTTTGGTCCATGCCTTCTTTTAAACAATTCGATTAAAGAGTTGGATGCTTCTTCCGAAACATCCCTATGCTTAAGTGCATCAGCACACATAACTTTGTGGTTATGTGTGTACTTCAATCGTACTGCTGTTGGATACTTCATTGACAGTGCATCCTTAATCTGTTAAAAGAAAACAACATAGTGAACATACTGATTATGAAAAAGAAAGTTTTTAGGTACAGTAGTACTACAATAGAAACATGTTTATGGGGAATTATCACAAACTGGTTGTTTGACAATTAAACCACTAATTATTTTACCACTAGTCAATCATTAATTTGTTACAAATTTGTTGACAGTATGTACTAAAAAAAAACTACCTTGAATCTTTGCTAACGTTTTTTACAGTAATCATCATGTCTGCATTACAGTTGGTATGTTTTGAAGCCACTCGACGCTTCGAATTTGTATCCAAACTCTCTGGTCTTGTGTTGTGGTGGCAGCGATATTCTTTCTGCAATAAGATAATACTTGTATATTAAGATTCAAGATATTATATAATAAGAATTAAACAAGTAGATCAATGTGTAATTAACCAAGAGCAGCAGCATGGTTGGAGTCAGAAAATGGATCAAGGTTGAAAGTAGAGGCACGTGGCCACCCCCCCCCCCCCCCTGCCGAGTTTTGCCACTACATTTTAAAATTTCAACGTATATATTTAAATTAGCTTTACTCACTTAATTCTATTCTGAAATGTTGTCCCCTCCCCTCCCCATTGAAGAATCTGGATCCGCCCCTGGTTCAAGATGGAAAAACTGAAGATTTAAAAAATTGGTTCTGCATGAAAGAGGCCAGATGGGTAATTGAACAATACAACTTGTAATTGGATACAGGATTTATATAAATGCAAATAATATTGGATCAAGTTAATGTTTTAAACATTTTAGTACAAGCGAGTTTGTATCCACATGAATTTTGATTATTTGTTAATGCCACTTCAGATTAATGAGATTATTATTCCTAAATATTGAAGTTCTTGGGTAGTATTTATCAGAGATCCAGGGGAGCGAGAGGGAGAGGGAGAGCGATTGTGTAAAGCGATTATATTTTTTTAATTAAATGTTCATAATCATTTTATTTTTAAAAATTATTATTAAAATTATTCTTTGTTAGATCTATATAATTTTGTAATGGAAGTTTTTTAAAATCAAGAATATGTAGCATTTAATTTAATATTGGATAATGGATCTTCAGATCATACCTTAAAAAGAACTTTAGTTTGTGCTCTTGGATATGTCCTTTTAACCCTCCAAGTTGTATATGTCAGGATGCTGAAATCATCCAGCCAGGTCTTTAATTCTTCCTCATTGTGAATGACAAGTTGGCAATTCAGTGAAAATGAGGGCTCATTAAAGGAGTTTTCAAGCTCTTCATAGTCACTTATAATGTACAAAGCAGTGTTTGGAAAGAGCTTCTGAAAAAGAACAGTGAAAAAATCACTTTAAATTGCATATTAATTCTGTGTAATTTTATAGTTCGATAGCATAATAAAAATATCATTGTTTCAGTATTAAAAAAGTATAATAAAAATGATGGTAATATATTATGACCATAATGATATTAATAATAATGACTCCTTATTTGTATATAATTGTAAATGTATGTGGCACTTAACCATTACAAAAATTACAGTATTTGGTTTCAATCAGAATAAAAAAAAATAATTGTTTGCCTGAGAGTTTGACCTGAGATGTTGGTGTAAAATGTCTGTAATTTCAATTTAGCAAAACTTGTGGAAATTGATAATATATTTGATCTAAATTAACATGACTATAGTAATTTGATTTCTAAGTGGCATTTTATATTATTTTTTTTAGATTTCACATCAGAAAGTGTAAATTTGTTTTGAAATTTGTTTAAAATGTATTTATTTATCTATACTTTACTTATATGTTCAGTCAAAAGTTGTTGAAATAGCAAGCTTAATTTTTAAACACTGGTAAAACATTGATTACTTTTATATCTAGCATTGCAGCAAAGATTTTACTGTACACTAGAAGTTCAAAAACAAGAATTATTCCTTGCAAAAAAAAAATAAAAAAAATTTTCATGATGTATGGTTAAGAAATGTTATTAATAAATAATAATAATAATAAATAATAATTATTAATAATAATAATATTATTATTACTATTATTATTATTATTATTATTATTATTATTATTAATAAATAATATATGAAATCTATCTTAATTGAGGCACGATGTTACCTTAACTTTATCTGGCAGTATGCAAGATTCCATCTGTTATTTTTGTAATTCTGCAAAGTATCAAATAATTAATTACAATGCAAAGTATACCATACACCTTTGTAATGACTTGGTATGCCTATATCTAAATTTAAATCAAGAGATGTCAGTATGCATATTATTTTTTGAACTTTGACTTAAATCTTTACTACTACTTTTTAGAAAAAATATATATGTCCTTTCATATAGATATTTGTTTGTATTAGTTTTTATGGGCTACAGTTGCTATATTATAAATTGATTGATTTATGCATTTCTTATATTTTTATATTATAATGGTGAATAAAATGAGTGTATAAGAATTATTGAATTAATAAGACCAGATTTATAATGTTATACAGTAAGTTAAGTATGTTTTAATTATATATTAATATAGGCCTTATTCATTTTATAATAATATACCACATATTTTGATATTTGCCAACAATTCAAGAAGACAAACTAAGAAAATAATAAAAATTAATCAAACAAGAAAGGCTGTATTATTTACCTCAGGGAAAATAAGATAAGATAGGCTCAAGCATCATAGGCCTAATGGAAAGGGATACATTAAACCTCAATCCTGACTGATAGCTAGCCTAGTAAATAAATAATGTAATCTGTATAATTTTAATAACAATGTATAGTATATTTAATACATATAATATTTCTGTATAGTTATATAACATAATATTCAAAATAATTAATTATTATTCACCTTCTAAAGTTATATTTGACTGTTCCCTGTTTTGGCGCGACGAATCGTATCATTCGTTGACGCCCCCTTTCTGAACCAATCAAATGATTTGTTGACGCCCCCTAGTTGACATCATCCGATAGCTCTCTTCTTCTGGTCGGGTCGCGTGGGATCGGGTCAGCCGAGACGGCCCGAACAGAGTTTCATGTAAATGTTTCGTACGGAAAAAAAAACAGTAAATATACAAAATGATATAAAAAATAAATGTCTAAAGATTAAAAATACGGTACATAAAATTACATAAAAATTCAGTTTCACATATCAAATATTACATACATAGGCCTATTACATTAAAGAAATATTACAATTAAAAATATCAAGTAAGAGAGAATGGCAAATAACAGAAAAGTCTACACCCTCAAAAAAAAATTGTAATTTTGACAATGTTTAGAGGTATAAACATATAATTACAATTAACTATGTATGAAATGTTGGGGTTAGTCACCATACAAGGCTTATGCGGATAAAGCCAGCCCTGATTACTTGCTATTGGTTGCCAGATGCTATTTTTTGATTATCACAGATGCCATAATTTCATAATTTGTTCACATCATGCGTGCTGTTTCTTCCCCCTTGTTGGGGAGTGGTATTTGGCTCTATAATTGCCAGTTGTTATTTTCGGGCATCCCAAAATTATACTTTTAGACTACAATACCAGGGAACAGCAATCATAATAACGTCTTTGATTGGATTTGAATATTAATTTAGTCCGATGAC